CAGATTTTTGTAAATCATTATCCAAGTCTGAAGCATTAGGCGAATTATCTAGTATTTCTTCTGAAGGAGAAGAAAGTGAATCCGAGAAAGGATTTCATCATCCTTTTCTTTTAAAAGAAAGACCCAGTTCTATTATAATGAATATTAAGGTTGATATATAAATCTACTTTATATTATTGTTTACAAATCTTAAATTTTACATTCTTACGATATAAACATCAAATTTTAAAGCAAATTTTATTTCTCCTTTTCAGGATGCAAAACAGTTACCAACAAAAACGTTCCAAGAAAAAACAGCTGAAACATCAAATCAATTGAGATTGCAGTTTCCTGTTTCCAGTGGACAACATCATAGAAGAAGCGGTAGACATTTTTACGATATAATTTGTAGTTTTATTCTAATGCACTCATATGATACAATATTTGTATTTAGAAAACGAATGGGTACCTGTTACGCCAAAGAAATCAGAACCAAAAAAGATATTTGTACCAGCTTCTACAAATGCATCATCAATTATAATGCCATCACCTCCTGTGCAACCTGTGCAACCTGTACAACCGGTGCAACCGGTGCAAACCGTTTTCCCAACAACAACGGAGGTAAAATAAAAAAGAAAACATCTATGCATATGTTATAAAATTATATGATTAATTAATTATATCGTCAATTAGTAAAAAGATTGTTCTAATTATAATGATTGCAGACCATGGATATTGGCTCTATAGTATCTGAGAGATTAGCAGCTATAAGAAAATTAAGGGAAAATCCAAATGATGTAAACGCTTTGAATGCAATGCAACGGGCACAAAACGAGGTAAAAAAATGACATAGATTGTCATAAAATAAAGCATGATATATATTTACACACACACGCACGCGCGCATATATATATAGATGAATTTACTCACGATATTATAGATGAAAACTTGGGCTGAAAGTAAGCAGATACCAGGTCAGTTTACTGGTAGTACAGGAGTTAAAGTACTTACACCTGCAGAATTGTCTTCAGGTTATCAAGCCTGGGCACGTAAGGTAAAGTTATTGTATATTTTATTCCACTCCGATTTCACAAAATTCATCCTTGAATCAATCCTTAAATCAATGCTTTCGATGCACAATACATTTTCAAATCAAATTTAAATTATTGTTTTATATATGTGTATGTGTGT